GCTCGTTTTAAGTCAATAAATGTTTAATATTTATCAAAATCTGTGGCAGGTTTTATCATTTTGACGTGGGGAAAATTTCTCCTTAGGGGGTTAAAAACATCTGCCAGCACAACTAACATTTTTTAATCAATATTCAACATTTTTAGAGGTAAGATACTGACAGCTCACAAGTACTCAGCACAGTCCTCTTCATAAAACATTACAGACGGTTGTGGTATTGCAGTCTGTCAGCTGTAATGTCCTACATTGAGTTAGATAATATTACAAAGCTTTTGGTTAAAATGCTGAAGGTTATTAGAATTGGTCTTGACCTTTGACCTGCAGGTTTAGTGGAGTGACTTTTTGTTGTTGATTTTGTAACCGCAGCCTTATATGTTGTCTCTTTTCAGCATCAGTTCAGTGTGAATTTTGAGTTTCTATAAAATATCTCTGCACTGTTTTGCATTTGATTGGTTTAAGCTTCTGTCAGCTTCTCTGCGTTTGCATGCAGTGGGTGAACAGTGCTGGTTAAACCTGCCTCACTCTGCCTGCCCTGTCCATTTAAACGTGTGCAGATGTTTAGATGTTACAGCACAGACAGAAAAATGGCTTCTATGAATCTGTCGTAAAATATTCAGACATATTCAGGCAGTTTCTGTTTGTTGGCTCCTGCCTCATGATCTCCATTTCTGTTTCAAACACTTTCTGCAGAAGGAGATCAGATAGCGGCCTTTATCTGAAATTGTTGCATCAGCGACGTAAAGGATCGCAATGACTGCTGGCCCCTTGTGCCATAACTGCATGTTTTCGATTTGCCATTAAACGGTGATGTTTGCACGGAGATGTTGCAGAGCTTTTCCTGAGCCATGAGCAGATTGTGAGATTTCCTCAGGGTCTTTGGTCTAAAATCCAGAAAAATATGCAATAAATGTCTTGCTGTGAGCAATTTTGTCAGGAAGAAATCAATGTGAAATAATAATTTGTTGTGCTGATGTTACGAAGTGTTTTTTTTTGGTCTGGTAAATATTTGAACTTTTATTATTGACTCTCATGTGTTTAGAAGAGGGAACGGTTTCCTGCGATGTGAACTCCCTAAACGTGTCACAGAAGCTCTCGCGTAAAGCGGACAGCCAAGTAAACATTACATCATCCTAAACTGTCCTCTGACAGGAGAGAAGAAAAAACACTCCTATTCATTTTTTTTCTACCTGACTCCAACATTTCCGCTGTTGGTCCAGAGCTGCGAAGCTCCAGCCAATCACGTCTCTTCACAACTCTTCTTCACGCGCTCCCTGCGCTGGTTACCAAGGAGACAGTGAAGTCTGAGAAGTGGAGCGATGCTTTGGCATACACGTCGTTTTTATTATTAATTTTTGTTTCTTTTCGTCTCAGCAGTACCATCTGGACTTAAAGTTGTGTTTGTGTTGTTGACAAATGGACGTAGTAAGCGTGCGAGCCGAGCGGTTCCAGGCTGTCATCCGATCCACACTGTCCCACCTGTTCTCACCATTTTCTGTCTCACTGGTCCAACAATTCCAGGCCGCTCCGCTTCTCCTGCCAGGAATCTGTCTTCAGCACCAGGAAAGAGTCTCTTTTAAACAATGCGTCGACCTTGATCCAAGTGGGCCGTTTAAGGTTCCTGCATGTGAGAGTGGGAGAGCCAACCAGACTCTGATTTTGGTTCTTGCAGCAGTAAATGAATGAAAATGCTGATTTAGCTGCATCCACATTTCTTTCTGTTGGAAGTGTAGGAAGCAGCAGAGCAGGGCTGCAAACGCAGCATCTTGCAGTAAAGGAGCAGAAACCTGCAGCTGCAGCCCACTATCCTAGACCGAGACCCCAGTGGCGCTCTTGTGTCCCGAACTGTGTCACAAAGCGTGGCTCTGTGAAGGATGGATGGGAGTGGGAATGGATTTCTGTTTCCAGACATTTCAAACATCCCAGCACCTCCAGGCTGTTTGCTCACATGTTAGCTCCCTGGAGTGTTTTACAGCTCACAGCCATCAGATTCAGACACTGTCATGTTCTCCTTTAGGACTTCCAGCCTCCCACACACACAGGAGGAACTCTGGTTTGAATCCTTCCCCTCTGCTCTCTCCGCTTTATTACAGCAGGTCTGCTGCGCCTTCCTCTCCCTTCCCAAACCTCTTCACTTGTTTGACTCTCAAACAAAATGTAGTCTTCTGATCTTTGCTTATTAAATAACGAACTGAACCAGATATTTCCAAGAAATGACACAAACCCTGAAACTCACTTCAGATTATTTTGTACCTTACTGCATTTAGTAGCAGTGCAGTTTAAAAAATGACTATGCTACATGCTAGCATGCTGCTAGTGAATCCTACTGAAAACCAGTAGGATGTATTTTAATAGAACTGAAATTAGATTGTGATTAAAGTTGTGCTAGTTTTCATCATAAACGAGCTGGAATAGTTTTGGAATAATTGTCTCAGAGTTGCAACACGAATTCATTACAACCTGATATTCAGCAGCATATCTGACATGCAGAATTTGTAGCATACAAGCTAATGAACACGTAAACATACTCACACAAGTCTACATGTTAACTTTCTAACTTCCTGTCTAACAAACTGTACTACAGTCCTAGCATGGCAGTTCTAAGGCTACTGCAGTTGTCCTAACTTTTGATCTTGCTCTGATAGTTTTAGTCTTTAATATCTGTTTAAAAACCCTTCAGCATTATGGCTGAATCAAACCTTTAGGATTTAGTTAAATCTAATTACTAAAAGCTGAAATCTGTGAATCATTTGAAGTCTGTTGAAATAATATTTTAAATTAGCACAATACTGCACAGGATAGTTTTGATACATATGAAATATACCATAGAAAGTTAAAGTACACTCTACATTCACATAAATTTAGATAAAGATCCAAACTAAAACAACTGCTGAATCTCTGAACTTATATAAATTCTTAGGGAGGATTCTACAGAAAAGACAGGCCTAGAATCTCTTTACACAGAGAGTCTGTCTGCCAGGCAATTAACAAATTCCTGAGCATGGTTCAAAAGTTCACTAGGATCTTAAAACTTTTTATAAATAATTTTATCTATATTAGAATTAACTATATTTCTTTAAGAATGTTTTTAATTAGTTACTTATTAGATCCAAACTTATAGTCATTATTTAGCATTACATTGTGTGCAAGCTTGGTTAAAAAAAACAAACTACTTTCTTGTGGAAACATTTTGAGGCACAGATAGCGCTGCAGCTGCAATCATATATCAAACTGGACAGCGGCTGATACGAGAAGGGTTTGCCGTATATCTGCTTTTGGGGCTCTTTAGCAGGAGGTAATAAAATTAACATTGAGACAGCCCACACAAAGGAAAAGAACACACCTCCTAATGCATATATTTAAATGAGGAGAATATGCAGTCTATAAAAAATGGTTTGTTTCACAGCAGAAGTTGGAATCTCTTTGTGCTGAGTGAGAGTTTCCCGGAGGATGCATCTTCTGTTATACTTTTGTCTTTTTTACTCAGTTCTTTGTCTCTGTTTTGTAATGTCTTGGACTTTTGCTCTAGGTGAGAGGCTTATTGTAAAGTTCTTCTTGGATTGATTTTCTCTGGATAAAACTCTGAATATCTGAAGTCTGACGTCGTATGATTGCTCTTTTCTCTCTGCACACTTACACAGACACAGGAATTCGGGACTAAGAATTAATTAACGAGCTAAGATCAAGTTCTTCATCTTTTTAATTCTTAACAAGTCATAGAAAGCAGAAACTAAGTTAATCTTGGACTTTACAAGTTTGATTTGCAGTCTGAATGTCTGAGAGCGATTCCATGTGCTTCTTAACTTGTAGAAAGTTTCTCATTGTTCCAATAGGAGACATGTTGTGCTGCTGCATGTTTGTGACGTTTCCAGGAAACGGGCGCCAGTTTCCCCCCGTTACGTTTATTGCTTACATGAACGGTGAAGCTTTCTTGTTTGGATCAAGTTTCAGCAAACTTCACTCTGGAGTTCCACGAACAATGAAGACATCATCATCAAGATGTACTTTCTACAAAAATCAAAAGTTCAAATTCAAATTCAAAACGATTTCATTTAAATGAAATGTTGTAACTCATGACCCAAAGATCTTCAAAGAGTCGTGATGCTGTGGAGAGGAAGGATGTCCAGTAGCAGTCAGTCTGACGAGGCCTCTGACTGAAGACGCTGTTGCTTTAAATCTTTGTCTGGTTAGAAAGTCGGGCAGAGAGACGCCGGAGTCGTTGATGTGATCCTCCCCCAGTTTGACCGATGGGAGAGATGATTTTAACTTTCTCCTTCTCTCTGCAGTTTGGACCTGATCTACATACATGATAAGCAAAAAGAAACATCCTGTTGCCATGGCTACACTGCGCCAATATCATTTCAGCTACAGAGATTTAAAACCAGAGGGGATAATTGTTCTGAAAAGAAATGCATCTACCAAAAAATGATCAAAAGCTGAGAAAAGATCATAAAAATGTAAAAAGCAGCTCTAAGTTGGAGATGAGGCGTGCGGTGCCACAATAATGAAACAGAAGAATTGGTTTTAGCTTCTCTGAACTAGAACCTGATGCTAGTTCAGAGATAGTGATACTTGTCCCTTTAGAGTGTTCTTGAGATAAAACATAATAAAGAAGTGGTTTTAACTAATTAGCACAAAGTATTTTTCCAAATTTTATTTGCGCCTCGGTGATAACGGATATCGTCGCTCGAAGCTACAACTGGAATAGTTCCCTTTCAGTTTCTTTTTAATTCTCAAATCAAATAAATGAGATCCAAGATATCAGGTATTGATCTTTGGAAGAGCTGCTGGGCATATTTTCAGGGCTTGAAAGGAGCCATGACCTGTGTTTTGTGCTAAGCTAATTGCCTCCTGGCTCCAACATGATATACGAGATTGCGGTCAATATCACAGAATCGATCCTGTTATCTCTCACTCAGAAAAAGGAAGCAAAGGAATCCCAAAATCTTGAATTTTAAGTGCCGTTAACACTGAGCGGCTTCCTCTCCTCTGTTTCCCAACAGATGCAGCTACTTGACAAGTTCCCAATCGAGGGAGGGCAAAAAGATCCGAAGAAGAGGATCATCCCGTTTCTCCCAGGTAATAGGCTGCTCCTATCTGAACGTATTAAAAATGCATGACTGGCACTCAGGGGACGTCGCACTGAGCTGGTTACTGATGCCGGCGCGGCAAGTGCTGCTGAGGAGACAATATCTGTGACTCTCCCTCCCGGCTGCCGTGTGCATGGCCGATCTGTCGCATGTTCCGCCTCTACTCATGTGAATGAATTTTCTGACGATTATAGTTAGAAAAAGTAAATTTGCTCCAAAAAATAAATGTTACTTGGAAAATTTCTAGGAAAACAAAAAAATTTCTAACTATTGAAATGTTTTTTTTCCAGAATATTTTTAAGATTAATCTAAAAATTTGTTTTTCTCTTGAATTTTTTTTTAAACTTTTGGATCACAAGAATTTTCTAGAAGATTTCTGAGTTGTTTGATGGGAATTTACTGCTTTTCTTTTCTTTCTGCAATGGCTTTGCTACGCCGTTGTAGTTTTCATCACATGTATATTTGTGTGTAGATTTTAGCCTTGTCACTACATGGGAATCACAAGCTGGGATTCAGGCTTGTGATTCCCCAGCGCTGCAGTCCCAGCCCTGATTTATGGCAAATCCTGCTGAAGAAAAACCTACAGAATAAGGTTCTTATTTCTATTTACAGCAGATTATGTTTGTAAATGCTTAAATGTTTAAGCTCTGTGGCTGCCCCTGTAGCCTCAGCATCAACAGGAATCCCTCCCTGTCTCCACCTGCCCTCCAGCCGTCCCCTCCCAGCATCGCTCTCATTTTTCCCACTAACAGCAATGATCAAACTTCCACCTCCATCTTCCCCGTAAAGTCACCGTTCTTGGTTACAAATGACAGCCGTCCTCTCCGGACATGTAATTCAGGTCAAGCTCGCTGTGTGACACTTAATGGGCTTTCTAATGGGAAAGGATTGAAGGAGCCCATTAGCTTACGGCACTCAAGTGTCTCCCTTTAACAACCTTTCTGTTGGACTGATAATCCAGGACGCAGAGGCGCCACTGCTGGCATTCAGGGATTCCTTGGTCTCAATTGATGATAAAACATGAATAGAAATGTGACAAATAGTGACCTGTCTGCAAAATGTGTTTGAAACTGTTATTAAATTAAAATGTTCAATTTGGACAGGATTAGTTCAGAACTTGCTGGCTTCGTTCAATCCACATCTCTACAGATGTAACTGATCGTAGATCAAACCAATAAAACTGATGACAGATGGAGAAAATCTGGAGCTTTTGTATTTTAAAGGGGGGTGTTATGTAAAAGCTCCTTTTTTGAGTTTTATATCATGTTATCACACTATTCACTCATCAAAAACATAACTGGAGTTTTGCTTGTGCTCCTACAGACTAGCGGCAGCAGCATCTAGCAAATTTTCTCTTTACCAGAAAATAATGATTGCAAATCTGCATCAATCCTCTTGTGACCTTAAGTTCTAGTAAAGTTATGAAAAGCACACACAGGGGTTTTCAAGTGGCCTAGTAAATGTTTGAACATTAATCTGTCAGTGCAAAGCTTTAGGAACATTTGGGTCTGTTTGGTCTCTGTGATGAAGTCCTTTGGGTTTTATTTGGGTTTGCTGATAAAATGGAAGATTTGCAGTTTCATCTTATTGTGCAGAATGAACGAGCAGCTTCTACTCAATGTTTCTCCATCCAGACATTCTCAGCTTCAGAACGTTTCTGCAATCTTGGCTGATTTAGTTGTTAACAGGCAGAAGAATTTATAACTTATAAATATACTGTCAGTCTTAAAAACCTGATTTTCTCTTCCAGACCTCCTGGATAATCTCTGCTTCTCCAAAAACTGATCAGATATATTCGTGGATATATATTGAATATATTCATGAATAGTCAATACAAAATTGTTGATCTGCAAAATACTGACATCTGCTGGTTCATCTGAAAACTACACCATTCAGTTTTTACTGAAAACGAGCACAAATTTCTTCTTCTTTGTTCCAGTTTTTTCCTCTCGTCTGTTTCCTCGCTGTTCTTTCCTCTGGTTCTCTCTGCATTGCATCACACCTTTCCTTGGTAATCCTTCACCTTTCCTCGTTTTGATTCTGTGTTTTTGTCCCTTTTCCTTTCCCCCCTCCAGGCAAAATCCTGTTCCGGAGGAGTCATGTGCGAGACGTGGCCATGAAGCGGCTGCGTTTCATCGATGACTACTGCAGGGTAAAGAGCTCTGGCTGCAAACCTCCCTGTTGTCCTGAAACATTCCCGACCTGTGAAGAGTCCAAACGCTCCTTTACACTTCATGAAAAAGTCTTTCTACTCCCTGAATTTGTTCTCATTATTCACACAAAGCAGTGGAAGCAAAGATGCCTGTTTTCCAATATTGTTGCTAATAACAATCTAAATTGTTAGATTGTTAATGAACTTGTATTTAGTCCCCTTTTATTCTGAAACCCCTAAATAAAAGTGCAAAGCTTTGAACATCTCCCAGAAATAACGGGAATTTGTTTGAAGAAGAACTGAAATTTCTACCTCTAATCTGCCTGAACTTGAGTGATTTTGCAAAAAGCAATCAGAAAAATGTCAGCATTTACAATCCGGTTGAAACAAATCATGAAAACCATTTATGAGTTTCACAGTTATCCCTGTCTTATGACATCTCAATAAAACACACAGAGATTTAATGTGAAAAACTATGAAATGTTTCCTTCCATGTGTAAGAATCAGGGTTTTGTGATCTGGCCCATCACAAACTTTAAAAATCCAGATTTTGGCGAATGACATCTTTGTTTGCTAAATATAGCGACTTGTACATGTCAGTCTGGATGGTCCAACTCTGATCCAATTTGAACTTTGCCACTTGTGAAGCCAGTTTGGATGCATACACAATAGTTTTCAAAGCCTCTTCGGCCATGTTGCATTTTTGTCCGACTTTTACATCACTGATTTTGAGACGAGTGTCATAATTGTGGATCATGATCTCCCAACATTAGGAAAAGCAGATCCTGATCTGATCCTGATCTGATCCTGATCTGATCCTGATCCTGGATCAGGTGTTCTGAAGCAGCAGGACTGACCAGATTGTTCCACCAGTCGAACCTTCAGTTTGTCAAACTCCAGCTGTTTGCAAAGGAAGTTCTGACCCTTCAAGACTTCCTTCCCATAAAATTACACAACTTCAAAGAACTACCTGTTCATAATCACACACTTCAAGACAGACTTGATTGTCATTTCCTGTTCACACTCTTAATAGATAGGTTTTATTTCATGTGTGCAGGATTAGGATCTTTTCCTGCTTCACACCCTCCTCTCCTCCCTTCCTTCCACTTGGCACAACTCCACACTATCAGAGGGAAATGACTGCAATACAGAGGCTTTGTTTTCACACAGAATTAGGAGGTTGTATTGTTGGCCTGCATTAGCAAAGGTTAGCCAGAGTATCAACTCATTAATTGGGAGCAAAGAAATAAAAGCAGATCCGCTCGTAGACAGACTCTTTCTTACCCAAATAACCTGAAGTGCAGTAATTTCTACTGCAACAGGCTCTCCCTTTCATGCAGCGCTGCAAAGCGTGCAACACTGTTTAATTCCTGTGTCCTGTTTGTGAGGCACAAACAAGAGAGAGGAAGAGTAATTACCCAGTGTTTTCAAAGGCTTTTGCTCAGGAGAATACGGGATGCTGGGGTCCAGGCAGCTGTGGATGCTCAGCGCGATGCGGCCTCTTCAGTCGCCACCGAGAGACTTCTTCTGTGATATTAGAGATGAATGTAATATGAAGGTAGTTCAGATGACGATTTCAGCTGTTTAAATTAAAGGCCCGTTCTGTTTCATCTTCACGGTTCGGCTCCTCGTTTGGCGGCTGCGTAGCTGAGCTCCAGCTCTGCTTGCAGCCGGTCGGCTGATTAAATATAGATGGATAACAGACACATGATCCTTTTTGACTGGGGTTGAGCTCTGTCTTTGAAGACACTCTGAGGCAGCAGTTCACTGATCTATATCACAAATCTATGCTGGTCAAAAGTCATCAGGTTCAGTCAGATAAATCCTGCGTTTACGTGTTTTGCTTGCTAGGATTTCAATCTAAAATGTGAAAAAAATCTTACATGCAAATATTTTTACACCTTTTGGATTATCAAGTGATGCAGATTCTTTCACTTCTATTTTTAATAGAAGTACAAGGAGCAGGAATTTGATCACCATGAATAAACTCCTGCTCAGTTTTAGTCTTGATGAAATGGATTTTAGGATGATTGGTGTCCCATCCAGAAAACATCCAGATCCCCAGAGTCACTTCAGGGATGTGCGCTCCACCCTTCTTTGTAAATTTTACACATAAATGACTGCAAGTATGTCCTTAAAAAAAGGCACAAATGAGCACAAAACAAACTCTTTGAGCAACCTGTTCCCCCTCTCGCCTGTGGGGGCGCTGCACCAAGAACCATTGAAGGAAAAAACTCGAAAACCTCTGAAAAAGACCCTGAGAGCAACTTCATACTTCACAAAATGTAACAAAAATGGAGAGGTGTTAGGTTTTAGTGGCTTCTCTTTTTTGTTTGATGAAGACCACCAGACACGTGCGCTTTGGTTATGGTTGTATTTACCCAGAATGCAATCCAGCACAGTGCGCTTCCTACTTCTGGAGTGCATCAGAATTTACTTCAGCCTAACCAAGGCTTGGGTTTATAGCCGGACCAGAGTTGCTGTTTTGGTCCACTTCAGACTGATTGTGCATTCACACTTCCCCAACCGAACCAGACATTCTAGGTGAACAAGCTAGAATTTAATTAAAATGGACAAACAGGGCTGGCGGGAATGCACTCTGACCCCACCCAACTGAATAAACTGCCCATCCTGAATGTTGTTGTTTTATGAGACTAAATCAGTTTAATGCTGGATCTTTCACATGTCACCCTAAGAGTGTGACATGTGGCCTTCATGTTTTCCTCTCTTTCCATTTTCAGGCTCTGGTGAGACTTCCTCCCCACATCTCTCAGAGCGAGGAGGTACTGCACTTCTTCGAGACGAAAGCTGAGGACATCAACCCCCCAGTAGAGTGAGTGTTGCTTACATAATGATGATGTGTTTCTCATAAACTCACCATGTTACCCTGAACAGCCATGTAACAAAGATGTCCTGTGGACTGGTGTGAGCTCATTACCTCTGGATCTATCCCTGCATTCATATCTAGTCCCAGATCAGCTCCTTCTCACAGAGTTAGTGCATTAAAGGTTTACTCCAGATTATAAAGAGTGGGAAGTTGATGGATGCAAGAATGGAGGAGGAGACTGGCATGTTTTGCAGCAGGGGATGGCCCCGTTGGGTAGTTGTTAATTAGAGAACACGCTCTCCCTCCGATCCCGAAACGCCAGCATCACACCCTTCATTTGTAATGTGCTTCTGTCTGCGCCGAGATGGATGCACCCGAGGCGATCCAACGCAGAGCTCTACCTAGACTCCTCTCGTATTTTAATTACTTTCCTCTGTGTTTCTCCTCCTCTGCCTCTCCGTGTGACCCCTCTCTGTCAGTGTTTCTCCTGCACTAGATCATCTCTCCACTCCTCTGCTTCTAATCATCTGAATCCAACTCGACCTCATAAATTCAAGTATGTCTAATTGTTGAGACGGTTCAAGGTTATAAACACCTTCGCTGAAACAAAAACCGTCTCCCAGCGTTTACGCAGCGTTTTGTCTCACCTGTACTATCTCCCTCAATGCCTCCATTTGATGTTTGTTTTTCTTCTTTTTTCAGTAAATACATCTGGATTATTTCATCTGTGAATAGTTTTAGCATTAATGAAGCTTCACTATTTGTTTAAATTGTCTATCATCTGTCTTTTATCGTTTCTGTATGTTTATTCTTTGGAATAAAGTTATTAGGGAAAAAAGAGAGAGAGAGGAAACTTTACTGCTATTTAGTCAGTCTTCACGGCCTTCACAATAAGAGCCTGAATATAAATGTCTTACTAGTTGACGAATGTCAAATTTTAATAATAAAGTAAATTAGCACCTCAGAATTTATCTGCAAAAATATTTAGAGAAGCTGAGTGCACTAAACATTTTCAAAGTTAGCAAAAGCCTGGGAGGAATAAATGAAACAGAAATATTTACTGATAGTCATTGACATCTTTTTGCCTCGGCGTTGTGTCGGCACACACAGAACAGCGAACTGGGAAATCTCCAGAACTGGTGGTAGTTTTTCCAGTGACTGTTGTGAAGGTCTGTGTCTGATCTGGACTCTTTTCCGTTTTTTAGGAACAGAACCTTCTGGTACAGCTGCTGCTGTTTGACTAGTTTTCATCCTCTAGTTTTCTCTAGTTTTTCTTGAAACGACACCCTGCTGGGGTACAACGGAAATAATTACAAAGAGAAACTCCGGATACTTTCAGAGAACCTGAAACCACCGACTGAAACCACTTTAAAAGGTTCAAACAAAATCTGCCTTCCTGAAAGCAGTCCAAAATAAAACATTAACTGACTCAAATGTATGACATTTTTTCCATCCATTAGTTTTTCCATGCGTTTCCAGCTACTAATCTAGAACTGGAACTTGAGGCAAAATCTGACGCAACAACTCACTGGCCTCAATTCTTCAGCTCTTCAGGAGAAACGTTTTAAATCCCTGTGCAGATTTTTTGTCTCCAGCTGTGAACCCAATCCTGAAATCAAACACACACTCACAAACTTTAAAGAGTAATTCCCGTCCTATACGCAGACTGAAAAACGTGACAAATTAATAAAGAGGTAAACAGAAGAAAATAGATTAAAAATTCTGCACCAAGAAGAGTTGAATGCAGCTGTTTGCAGCAGGTTGTGCTGAGCGGTTTGAAACAGTCAGGCTTGACGGAGAGCTACCGTTTGGACCCGCTCTGACACAAATCGATTCAGAACCTCCTCTGGTTTCTCTCATCTTGTCTCAATATAGAAAAAACACTCAGTGTGGATGAAGAACTCACTCTGCTCAGTTAATGGTGTGTTAGACATCATAACCCAAAGCTGTGAGGAAGAAAGTGCATGTGGCTCTTTGGTTCTTTCACTTCAGTGCATCTTCTAAATGAAAATGTATCCGAGGACGGAGGGATGAAAAGAGGGAGGGATGAGAGGATGGAAGGATGAAAAGAGGGATGGATGAGAGGATGGAAGGATGAAAAGAGGGATGGGGCCATTTGGGATGAGCTCATCAGATGATTTAAAGTCCTGAGTGTGTGTCTGACGGTGTGTTTTGTGTTGTGGTGAAAGGATGTGGAGATGGATGGACAGTTTGTCATTATTATTCATCCATCACTCTGTGATGGATGAATAATAATGTGTGAGATATTTTATCACCTTGTTGAATAAATCTGGAGACGTTTTGGTCATCAAACTTAAACATTGCCTCACGTTCCAGTGGAAAGGCAAAATCAAACGAACCAGAAAATACAGCAGCTGGGGGGAAATAAAATCTCAACGTTTAAACTGCTGCCTGGATTTTCATGCTGATTTTTTGTCCTGATTTTCCCCTTCTGGCAGTCAGACAGAAGCTGTGATTATCAGGATGGCTCTTTACATAATCATGAGAGATACTCTTTCCCTGGTTGCTGTGCTCAGGGTGATCTAGTCCACTCAAAAGACGTTGGGACTAAAATACAGGATGTCCAACATGCTGGATCTTCTTGGACTGATATTCCACCATGTGTGGGGTTTCCGAGGACAAGCGAATTCAATCTGGTACCAAAATTATAATATTTGTTACGTTTTCAGCTGCTGCACTTCTCTTTCACACGGAACTGTGTCAAATGATCCTGAAAAATCTATTTCCCTCCTCACCTGTGGGGGCGCTGCACCAGAATCTACTGCAGGAAACAAAAACCTCAGGAGGAGGTTTTAAGCACAATATAAAAATAATAGCGTCGGATTTTAGTGGTTGTAAGATTTCTCTTTTGCTTATGTCAAAAGACAAATAGATATTTCTCCTTTGCTTCTTGCGCTTGTTCTGGTTTCATTTACCCAGAATGCCCTGCGTTATAGTCCACTACCTGCTTTTGGAGCGGTCTTCGTCTGCTTGGCATTTACAAGTTCACTGTTTTGACCTGCATCATAGAGCTCAGTGTTTTATCTGAAAGTGAAAGTGGATCTTTCCTTTAGTTGAGCTAAAGTTGCTTCCAAGGCAGAACCAGTTGGCCCAGTCCATGGGTTTCTGCAGGAAACGAACTGAAGCCAGACAAGCACTGAGTTTGTGTTTGGTCTGCACCTCTCCATCCCCCCAGCTTTCTTCTGTTCTGCTCGGAAAGAGGCGACAGGCTCTCTCAACCTTAATGGATGAGCTCTTAGGATCAGTTGCGCTCACTGGAGATCTGATGAGTGATGAACAGCACCGTGCTCAGTCGGTTTAAACACTTAAAGCATGTCAGAGTGAGGAGGAGCGGTCAGCTGAGCGTGCAGCCTCTGAGATATCTAGTTTTTTATTATTAGTCTTTGTGAGTGAGCTTTCATTGATTTGTTTTTCTTTCAGCCACATTTGGAAACACTCAAACCCAAGACAGGTTTCTATTTTAACAAACAGAATTGATTCTGCTTGTTGACGGTTTTCGGGTTGTTTCGGCAGCCCAGCCTCCGCTCTAGATGCTGCTCCCTGTGATGCACATTTACTCACCGGGAGATGATGAGCCAGGCTCGCTCTGAGAGGGGCAGGCCGGGACGGGGCGGAGGCGAGATGGACGGAGCGGGCGGTGACGGGCGAGGTGCTCTTATCACTTCCTGTAAAATGAGGAAGGAAGGAAGACAGACGCGGTTCAGGGGCATGAGGAGGTCAAGAACAGAGGGTGAGAGGTCAGGATGACTTTTTGATTTCTCTTAAGCTGGAGAGTCAGAAATTTTTATGGAATGAAATCTGCTTATGAAACTTTGCTCTGATTTTCTGGCTGGATGTGTTTCAGAAACTTTTATTAATTTATTTTTATCCAGTGATCAAAATGAAGGGGGAAAAGCCTCTTCTTTTTTTGTGCATTATCGACCTCTGTCTGCTGAAGGGGGTACTGCACCTGTTGGGAACATTAGGACATGTTGTATTGATCTCTGATGCAATCAGCTGTTTGCCTTTTAAATCCAAGGATCCTTTCAGAAAACACCCAGATCCATTTCTGCTCATCTTCTTGCTTTAAACAAAAAATGTGATGCAGAAATTATTGCCATTTTTTTGGCATTTCAAAGCAAAAAAATCAAAGGCTTTATGTTCATTTTATGACTAAAATGAAATATTTTTGCTTCATTTTTTGTGCAAAAGCAGCAGTGATTTCTTTATGCAAAACATTTAGGAAGTCTCAACAAATGTTGAAATCTTGTGTCATGAAGCTGTAAATGGAAAGATGAAGATAGAAAAAGATCTTTAGCTTTTATTGTTTATCATATTTACCTCATCTTTACTTTATTCCACCTTATAATGCATGTAGTGGGGTTTTCAAGTGGTGTTAAGTTGAAGCCATAGGAGATTTTTGATTGTTTGATGTCAGCCATTGAAATGCCACCTCTGTCTGCCGTTGTTTGTTTGGACGTGGATGAAACTAATAAGAAAATGCATCATTTTGGTTGGTTTTTTGTGAGAATCAGGGTTTCAGGACATCTGTGTTATTGCTTTCAGGCTAATCCGCTGTACAACATGTGTCCACATGGGGCCTTACTTCACAGTCCAGACAGATGAAGCTACTTTTTCCAGTTCTGCTGCCGGTCCCGTTCCTCTCTGCTCCTGATCGAATGCCTCCCATCCTCACATCTCACTCGGATAAATTTCCACTGCATTGAAATTCTCTCCTGCTGTATCCATTTCTTCCTGGACTTCTCCACCCCCCATTCCCTGTTTTAGTATCTTTTTCCACTCTTTAGGTCATTATCATTTATCAAATGTTGTTTGATTTGTGTCTGTTCGTAAAAACATCAACCTAAAAGGAATGATCTGTCCTCTCCACACCATGATGTCGACAGATTCCTTATTAATATGTGCATCCTGCAGCTTCGCTGTAGAGATGTTATCCGTCACTGCGCCCCCTCACAGCCCTGTGCATGAGCAACAATAGAGTCTGACCTTGGTTGGAGCCTGCAGGAGATCGGAGGAGGCTGCATGATGATCAGATTATTGCAGAAATAAGTCATGAACTCGTGTGATTGGTCAGCTTTTCAGTTCCTTGGAGGCGATGTTTTAAGCAGGAGGTTTAGCCCTGGTGATGCGGGGAGGGCAGATGAGGGTTTGGGGGTTAATCAGGAATAAGTAGGTGGCAATGTGTTTGTGTGTGTGATGTGAGAGAAGCTGTGGGTCATTTTGTGATGTAGACAGAAGAAAAGCTTCTTCCAACCTGCATGCCATCCTGTCACTAAAGCCCACACACGATGACGAGGCCTACAGGCTTGACATTTATTCATTAACATTGAGTCCAGCATGCGGCTGTAAAGTTAAGTGGAAGGAAAAAAGGTGCACAAGCAGCAGGTTGGCGGAGATTCACAAGGAGTACAGCTAGAGTCACATAAACTAATTAAATATGGACCACAACTGCCACATTTGTTGTGTGAAGTTCTTCCTGAGGAGAAAAAGGTCTGGACCGGGGGCAGTTGGTGATGAAGGGGCAGCTGGTGGTGAAGGGGCAGCTGGAGGTGAAGGGGCAGTTGGTGATGAAGGGACAGCTGGTGATGAAGGGGCAGCTGGTGGTGAAGGGGCAGCTGGTGATGAAGGGGCAGCTGGTGGTGAAGGGGCTGCTGGAGGTGAAGGGGCTGCTGGTGGTGAAGGGGCAGCTAGTGGTGAAGGGGCAGCTGGTGGTGAAGGGGCAGCTGGTGGTGAAGGGACAGCTGGTGGTGAAGGGCTGCTGGTGGTGAAGGGGCAGCTGGAGGTGAAGGGGCAGCTGGAGGTGAAGGGGCAGCTGGGAAGGTTAGGCCGAGACGTGAGCAACCTTGGGGCTGACGCTGGATCAACAGAAGGCAAGAGAGACAAAGGGAGGATGAGGTGATAATCAGGAAGTATTTGTTTTTCACAAGGCTGCTAACGAGGCAGCATTCGATCACAGCAGGTTATGCTGATAAATATTGATCAGCTGATTTCATCAGCATAAAATCCATTACCTTCCCAGACTAATTTCACAAGCCATATAAAGTGTATAAATCACACAGGCAAATGAAGACTAATGAAACGGTAATGATAGTTGGTTTGAAAGGCAGCAGACTGATCCTGTGACTCTGTAGTTTGAGTGGAAAAGAGATTATTTGAAAATCCTGATGTTTGAAGTCAGTAGGTACAACAGTAGATTAAATGAAAGGTTTGGGGTTTGCCACAACTGTTCCACCTGAAAAAGCACACGGCGACAGTAGAGAGGAACGCCACCTTTTCAACAGACTCTTCTAGCAGCAAACATCCATGGAAAAACACCAAATCATAATTTTTCAGTCAAACATTTCAGCTCGCCACCTGAGAGGCTTTTCTGTGAAATGTGACTCATTTATTCATGAAAATTCAAATTGGAACTTAATACTCAGGATACCTATCTGTCTTTTTTACCTATTAACATAAAATACATTCAGTATGCATATATGTTCTGTTATTTGACTGCTGGTGTATAGTTTTTTTTGTTTGTGCGGCTGAATTGTATTAAACTACAATGGAGCTGCAGGTCTCTGTGGAGATCAGAGGACAAAACGTCTGTTTTTGTTTTTCCATCTGCCAAACTCTACTCCATTCTCCAGGGAGAAATTTCAGTGACATTTGGTCCTGCTGTTTTGGCCAATAATAAAAAAAAACTCCCAAAATTAAAAATAGAAAACCTAATTTATTGTAGATTACCAAAGCGGATGAAGAGGCTGTCAGAAATCACCCAGGCCTTTTATTCTATCTTTAGCTGGTTAATCTCATCAGTTTCAATTATTCCTCAACATTCTGCCCCCAGAATGAAGCCCAAGTATTTTACTGTCTGCCCAGGTGTAAAATACTCTGTGTTGAGTCATAATGCTCCTTCTTCTCGGCTGTCCTTTCTGCGCTGCACCTCATTCTTCCTCCTTCTCAAACCTGTAGAAGATTCTGGAAAGCAGTTGGTTACTCAGCCCCCCGGGAGGAGTTTGATTTCAGCTGCAGGGGTCACTGGCTAAACTCTGGACAATCTGTGTCTCCTCTTGCTTTTCATCCTCCCTCCTCTGTTTTGCTTCTCCTTCCCCTGCAGATGCTTTTGGCCTCCATCACATAAATGAAGGACAGAAACGCCACATGCAACCACAGCGGAGTGTGGCTGGGTAGAGTCGGATGACAAAGAGGTTTTTGTAAATTTGTTTGCCTAATTTGCTGCAGGAGGGACTGGTGCACTATACAAACAGATGAAATAATGAGGAAAGATGACAGTATAGAAATATTGATGCTACCAGCCAGAAGGTCAAAGGTTGGGAGAGAAATGGACAAACTCTCAGAATCCCACCAAATAAATTCCCAAGTGGAGAACGGAGTCAACGCTTATGGTCTCGCTGCTTTAGGTCTCGCTTAACCTAGAGCAGGAAAAGTTAAGTCTGATTCAATGTGGAAATGAGAACGAAAGGACTGTGTCTTTTTGTGGGTTACAATCACATAAACGGTGCATAATGAACTCAAGCTTAACACTGAGTTTTGTAGAAAGAGTAGCAGTAGCTAAAACCTAAATCAATCTGAATGTGTCATGAATTGTGGCAGGTTGGGTGAAAAGAGCAACCACCCTGGCAGACGTTCTCTGACAGACTCTTTCCACCCAGATCCAAACGCATCAGTCCAGATATATGGAGATATGTTGTTCTCCATATCATTCCTGCTGTTTTACTCTCCAGCCTGACTTCAGATGGATTGGATCAGTAAGGTAAAGTTGTGCCATGTCCCTCTTCAGTGACAGTGAGGCATATTTCTGCTTGCCAGCACACACAGTTCTTGGTATAAAGAGGTCGAGATAAAGGCTTCATTCATCTGTTGAAGCCAGTCACAGAGCGACGGCTGCATCAGATCACAAGATCAAGAGTGCAGTGACACCATGAATCTGTCACTGCAGAGGCCCACACCAGGCACAGAGTTGACTGACTTTCCTCACCTACCTGTATCTGTGACAGTGTGTGTTTATTAGACAGAGTCGAGTCATAGAGACGCTGGAGAGGAGGGATTCATTAACCTCCCGCAGTGAGAGGTCATTAGCTTCCCCACCAACTGCACCGCAGGGAACAGTTTCTGTCCGGTTACCCTCTGCTGCAGAAATCTCTCAGCTCAATTTACTCATCTTCATACCTGACACGATTAGGTCCCTAATTATTCAGATGAGACGTGAACAGAGCTGCTTCAATTAGAGAGATCCACTTTGGCAGATTGGAGGGAGAAGGCCAGAATTGCTTGCTGACTTTTAGCTGACCGCGGAGTGCTTCCATCGATTTATGGTACGCATCCTTTTATTTGACCACTTATCAGGGCTGACTCTCTGGTACCACCACAGTCTCTTCTGAAAGAGACACTGTAGTGTTTTAACCTTTAGCCTCTGTCCACGGCTTCCTTACCAGCTGCTCATGCCAGCTCCGCCCGCTCCATCTGATTCGTCACATTACTCAGTTTAATGTCGGTCATTCAGAGTTTAGTTTAAATCAACAGTCTCAGTTTGTCCAGTTATAAGTGAGTTTAATGCAAACGTGTCCACTCCTGGTTCCTGATGTCAGCTCATTATCTGATGTAGCTTCAGCTCTGAGAACATGAGGGGAGGAAAGGGAACCGCTGCCTCATCAGTTCTCATCCCCTTCAAAATAAGAGCATGAACATAAATACCTATCTACTTGAACAGTCGATGAACGAATCTTTCCTAACTTCAGCCAATGAATCATAGATCCCTGTTAAAAGTCTAGTTTTTCTGTTTGAAGGTGAAAAACTTTGTGCTGCAGCATCATTCTGCTGCTGCAGCATCATTCTGCTGATGTTTACTGAGCTCCCAGATGCTGCAGCAGAGGTGACACTGGCAGGTTTACCAGAAACAAAGGCTCAGTCTACTGAGCGGTGCTCTGCAGATTGTCTCTCCTGTATTTCTATTTCTGTAGATACTATCTGGTGTCTTCATCCAAACTCTCATTTTCTCCGTCTTCTTCTGTCCCACCTTCTGCCAGACGAGCCTCACGAACACCAGCTCTGCGTCAGCCTCTGATCTGTGGCTCAGACTTGTGCCATAATCCCATTACAGGCCATTAAGCAAAGCATCTTAAGCTGATCCTCCTTCCTTCCAATGTGGGGAGAGGTCTGTCGTCTTCCCCTCTAACAGGACGGAGGGAGGAAGGGGATCGAGATGCTGCTGCTTTAGAGTCACATGACTTATTTGTGTCTGTTGCGGAGAGTACAGGCAGCTGGCCAAAGTCATCCCTCCCTTCTCGACTCCCTTTTTCTCCTTCAAACACATGCATTGCACAGCGCAGTGCAGCCGAGCCGCAGCGTCAGGATGCACGTGTGTTGACTGAATGTTTTGTTTGGGACAGTAGCGTCCGCTGTCACTAACCATGTCCCTCCTGTGTTGCTTCTCCCTCAGGGACTATGGATCCAAGCGCAAGTCGGGTAAGTCACCTGCTTTTCTTCAACCAAACCTGATGTTTTTCTCTGCTTTGCTGCGATGGTATTTTCCTCCTGGAGGAGCATGGTGCTGCATGACGTGTGAGCTGTCAGTACATGTCTGTGTCTGTGTCAGTCTGTGGTTTATTTACAGTCCCATTGCGGGACGCTGACTGGCTGTCGGTTCTGTTGTGGGCTGGGTCCATAACGCTGCCAGTCTCTTCTGGTCCAAGACTTTATAGCATGGGGTTATTGAATGCCAAGTGTTAAAAACAACATGATAAAGAAATTAATGTTATTTGCATGTGTCATAGCTAATGATTAATAAAATGTGTTAAAATGTAATGAATGCATAATTACTTTGGAAATCCCTCAAACTGCATTTCAGATTTCTACATAAATGTTTATATTGTTTTTAAACGCTGAATAACCTTATTTGAAAACTATATATTTAATATTGTTTAAGTATCTGTCCAGTTACATATTATTAATGCATTTTTAATAAGCATTGATACATGTAAGTAAATATTTTTTTATTGAATTGAGACACTTTTGGGCCTCCATACAGGGTGTGGTTTAGGGACGGGTTTGGTTCGGTTCTGTTGTGAGGGAGCATTACTCTCGGATTTGGATCTTGGATCATGAGAGAAACAGTTTGTTCTCTTTCTGCTGGATTCCAGCTCTCTGCGTTTTATTAATTCAGTGTTTTAGCAGCTCTGTGGCTGAACAGCAGGTCTTCATTTTTACCAAAGTCTTTCAGTTTTGAGACCATTCAGTCTGATTTGCAGCATTATCACCGTCATGTTTGCTTTAAGCCACAAAAGCCAAAACAAGGAAAACAGCCGTCTTGTTTGACTGAAGGATCATTCATCCATTCACCACTGAAGGATCTTTAGGCCTCTTAACAATGTCATGGCTCTTAAAGAGTATTAGCCAGAAAGCAGCTGCTTAACAAAAGCTTCTGGACGTCTGGAGGACGATTACAGTAAATGTGTTCTGGATTTTTGCTTTAAAAGAGCAGATTATAAAATTATTGATTAGCTCAGGAAATAATAAATGACTCGATTGTCCTCATGTCTTTGCTTTAAAGAACTTTGATATTTTAGGAACCATCAGGTTTCTATGATGTGTTTGGTTGAAAGCTGCAACATTTTATCCACTTATAAAATGACTGTAGTCATAAATGCTTCATTAACCAAACTAAAGACTAAAACGTCTTGAATAAGAGGAGGGAGGAAGAGCCATCGACGGGCCTCTTTATTAGGTACAGCTCACTGGCTCTGGGCGGCATCAAATTCAGTTTTGTGTATTTTTCGCAGCATGCAGAAGATTCAACAAGGTGTCAGAAACATTGCTCTGACCTACATGACCTTAAAGGGACTGACAGGGTCAGCAACTATATCCAGTTTGGCTGTGATGTTGAAGATGAGAGACCCAAATTGTGCCATGAAAGTGTCTCCATACATGATAAACTGCTGGTTCTCAGGTGACTGAATCTGTTCAAAAGCTGTCTAGATATATTTAGCACTGCTAACTAAAAAGTTAGTTACGCTAATCCTAAAGGCCTAATCGTAAACATTAGCTCTGCTAGTGCTAAATGCTACACTAACACGGTGTTTACTGGAAGCTAATGCTAAAGCACTAAAGCACTAATCTCAATTCAATTAATCTGATCTTGAAAGACCACAGAAAAATCAATGTGCGGTACATTAAATGTGCTAAACATCTTCAAAGTTAGGAAATTATTGAAAACAATTCTGTACAATTAGTGCTTCAGTGGAAATATTCCCACCACTGTTCATAAACAACAGTGTTTATGTCACTTGATGTAAAGAGATAAAAGAGAAACCATGTTGCTGAGAAACAAAAGCTAGCCAAAAGAAGTTTACTAAACGTTTACAAAAGCACAAATGTGCTATTAGCGGAAGTTAGCCCGTTATTGGATATTATTAATTGTATTGATGCAGATTCATGTTCTGTTCTTTGACTAAACTTCAATGGAAATCTTTGGTTTATTTTAGCCAGAGAAATTATTTTCAGATTTTCATATGGGCCTGATACAAACGCTGCTTTAAAATGATGGACTGTAGATGTCAGCTGTGTGTTTTCCTCACCGGGTCAGGAGCCCGTCCTCCCCCATGTGGGAGTCAGATTGGAGGGATTGGAGGAGGCTGCTGCCTGCGCTGCAGAGGCCACAGGGGTTGATGCTGTCAGACAGGCCCCGCTTGTTTACGTGGCACGGCGGATAAAGTTTCAGGCTGACGTCGGAACGGCCAGTCGTGTTGAAGAAGAACAGGAAGGTGGGCCTTGTTTCTCGGTGTGTTGGTCTTTTATAAGTGCAGGAGGAACAGCTGGGGGGCAGATGTGTTTACAGACCTGTTAAACTGATCGTGGAGTTGGGTGGCTGCTTGTGGCATCAGTATCCTCTTTGTCAAACCTTCAACATGCACACATCCCCTTAAGAGTCCAGAAAACCTTCATTATTTAACATCGCATTGAGCTCTTAACTGGAGCAAATGCAGCTCAGTCACAAGAGGTCGGGACTTCAGCGCCACGTTGCTGTGTGTTTACGTAGTGGAGACTCAGGCGTGTTCCAGTGAAATATGGAGGAGGTGAGGAAATGCGAGGGTGCTCATTGTGGAACAGACTGGGATGGGGGAGAAACTCGGCCTGTGGCGGAAACCCACACCGCATTCCCATCCTGGACCTGGAACCATCCATCATGGCTAACAGCTTTATTTCATCCAGCACTTTTCAACCCGACGTTCTGGATAAAACAGATCAAACTGTTAGCAACAGGCTCTGAAAAGGCCAAAAACGGTTAAAAAACATGTTATAATTAATCAAATCTTTAAATTAAAGGAAAGACATTTGGGAGTATTTACATTTTTTAAATTCTAAATATATAAATGTTACAGGAAAAAGGAGATGCTTGTGAGAAGCTCCAAATTGGATATTTTGTGGCTTTATTTTAATATTTTTTTTTATTAAAAAAGGACAGATTTATATGTCTGCAGCTCCTGCAGACTCAATGCAGGTTAAAGGTTTCCTCCTGCCTACCTGGGGACGTACCTGGATTCCACAGTAACTGTTGGTTTCCCTCTTGGATTTGTTACCTTTCCTGGCTTTTATGCTACTGCAGCTTCTCTTCTCTTCGCTCTTCCTCCTCCTCATTTGCACACAAATGTTATTCCTCTTTCTGACTTTCGCTGCAGAAAAATTGATTCGCCTCTTGTTTCTCTTCTTGATAAAACTTTTTGTCGATACTCAGCTTCTGTTGGCGCTTTGACATTGTCCATGTCCTTGTTGTGTGATTATCCTCTGCTTGTTTGCTTTTGGCAAATCGATAACTGATTGCTGTACATCTCAATCTGTGTGTCTGACGGCGTTTCCATGAGCAGTGGCAGCAGGTTTAGCTGATTGGAGCTGATGGATTTCTGTCAAAGTCACGACGCTCTTCTCTTTCCGCTTTGCTCGGGATGAACTGCAAGGATTGTTGACAGTTTTGCATAAAAACACATGAAAAAAAGGAGGTAAAATGAGCTTGCTGCCAGATATTATATTGAAAACATTTTCAAAGGTCGAATAAATCCTTGAAAAAAAAAAAGAATCTATTTGTGAAACAATTTAAATTTAAAAATTCTCAAGGTGAAAAACTGAGAAGAAAATGACTAAAATATAGATGTTTAAAACTTGATTTAGATTATTTAATTAAAAACTGTTGAGATATTCAGCAAATAGAAAAAATCAAATTAAGTTGCTCTGACGATTTGGGTCAGCAAAGATGATTAATATTTTCAAACATACCTGATTAACTTTTATGCCTCAAAGTGACAGAAAACATCACGTTTCTCCTCTGCTAACTTGTTTTGTTTTACTGAGTCAAGAAAACCTTCCTACTGTTTGCAGCATTTAAAGTATCTGATGTGTTAAATAAATGGGATCATATTTCTGTTTATTTCCAGGACAAAATGAGAAAAAATCCATCAACGTTTTCAAAAATAACTTCAAAATCTTCTACTATTAAACTGGGAAAACTGAATATTTACTGATTAAGAATAAATTTTAAATGAAAATAAACAAAAACAACATAATGTTGGTACACAACTTTAACTGTGATGGATCTTTTTTAGTGAACATGTTCAGTTCAGGGAAATATTGACACATTTTGACAAAACTCTTTTTCAGCTCAACCATCAAAGCAAACTATAATATTTTGAAGTTCATACTATGATGACAAACCATGAATATGAGTTTTCTTTGGCTGAACTGGATTAAATGTCACTGACATAAACTGTGGAGTCTTGTTGTTGAGGCTCCACTGGGACATAAGCTAGAAACAGATTTAGGGTCCATTGATGTTACTGTTTGTGTTTATCGTCTGTTTTTGGGTAAATTTCCACACAGTAGCAGAACATTTGGGTCAGAGCTGCTTCTGCTGGCTTCATCACAAACCTGTGAAGGATTAAACCTCCTGTGTTTGTGGATGAGGCAGGTTGACAGCAGTAACATGAATCATTCGTTGAGGAGAAGCCTGGTGTGTTGAAAGCAGGTCCAGATTTGACCCTTGCTGACCTGGAACCAGCATGTTTCTGTCTCTGTCTGCAGGATGACGAGCCAATCAGCCAATCAGCTTTTGGCCCTGCAGATTCTGTTGCAGCTTCATTTAGGATTTAGTTTTTTAGGAATCATCTGAATTTTTTAAATATCTTATATTCCATTTACCTGCATACAGTGAAAGATAATCTCCTGCTGAAAGCTACAAAAAAAAAAAAAAACACATATAGTAACAAACATGTAAAATAAATATATTCTTTACAGATCAAATCCTGCAATAATCCTTACCTGGATGAAGTCTATCTTCTATTCTTCTGTTTTAGCTTTTAAAATCTTGTTTTGCTTAGGATTTTTAACGTCCTTGTTCATTTATTATTTACTGGTGCAGCCAGAAAAACAAATTTGTCTGTTATTTCTGATAACCTTGTGCAGCAAGTTATTGTATTTTTTACTATTATTTTTCTTCCTTTTCAGACAGGAAATCTTGTTTATTTGCATCATGTGATTGCCATAAAAATATCACTGCAAAGTTCAAAACATGCATGTGAGAAATCAACAAAAATATCTAAGATATCGATAGGACTCGATACGACTTGGCATATAATAATTTAAAACAGGAAATGTTTTTTCCCACATTTCTTCATGATTTCAATTGACTTATTTTAACCTCTAATGTTGGTGTTGCCGTTTCCCAAGCTGCACTTTTTGGACTCTTTCAGATACAATACAAAAACTTTAACCTTCGTACAGATACTGAAATAAAATCTCATCCGGCTTGCATTTCTTCTCAGTACTTTAGTGCTTAATTTCTGTCAACATTGAGGAAAAGATGACCATCAGGCAGATACTCAGAACAACCTGATTTCTGCCTGATCTGCACTAACCTCAGACCTCCACCCGGTCCTCCCCCGGTCCTCCACCCGGTCCTCCACCTCCTCTGTGCGACTCCCGCTGAAGGAAATGTAATTTCCTGGCTGGCAGCTCCTGTCGTTTGGAAACATTGGGTGGCTGGTCATACTGGACCTCCTCTGGCATTCCAGAAGTGATGAGAGAAATGTAGACAGAGATGCTGGACAGGTCATGTTGGAACAGTGTGAAAATGGGAGGCGAGGGTTTCTGTGGTTAGACGCCCTTCATCCATTCGTCCATCACGCCCTGATGAGTTGGGCCAGACTTTGGACCCAACTCTGATTTATCTCTGCTGACTGTTGCTTCTGTCTTGCTGTGATGCTAAATAATTTCTTTCCCTCTTTCTCTCTTCTTCTGCTCCTCCTTCTCTTTGTCTGCAGTGTGGATGTACGGCTTTACAGACAGCCCGAGGAAAGAGGCCTCAGGTAGCCTTGTGTGTGTGTGTCTTTGTCAACATGGTCATATGCATGTGCTGTGAGAGCTGCGTCACGTTTGTTTGTTCCTCTTCACACCTCAGCTCTCTCTGGACATCTGCTTTGCATGTCCCATCTGCTCAGAATCAGGCTCTCCGTCTCCCTGCATGCTGTTCTCCCATCCAGGAGAAACCTGCCTGGTGAGACAGCAGCTGGATGGAGAGCCAGAGCCAGAACGAGGACTGCAGCAGGGATGCATGTAGCATACCAACAACTTAGAATTCAGTCTGTTGCTTTGTTTTTGGTCACTACCCTTGATCTCATGCACGTCTGTATGATTCTGTGCAAGAAGTGAAAAGAAAAGCATTTCTCTTTGGGTGTGTTGGAGAGAATTATCAACCACAGTCAGCCGCAAATGACTAAAATCAGCAAATACTTGAGAGCCCTTAGATCTGCCTCTTCTGTCACTTCAAACAGCAAATATAACTTAACATTTGTAATAGGCCTCTATTATAATTTTTAATCAAGTTAATTGTAGGGACTTTAATTAGTTAGAATTAATCACATTTTAATCAAAATGTGATATTGACAAAATAAGCAATATTTCAATTCAAAAGCCCCTTTTGCTGCTAAAGTTTTGAAAAAAATAGACAAAGAAATTCCACAATAAATTTGTTTCTCGTTTTCGATCTGTTATTTAGTTTATTGAGTCACAGATTGGTGCAAAATGTTATTCTATAATTAGACTTTCCAGTGTTTCAGGATCATTCATGGAGCTCCTGTATAAATGTAGCCTGTGGACGCTAACATTAGCATTAGCTGCTACATGTTTAGCATTGAGATGCTATTTTAGCTTAGCTGATAGTGTCAGAGCCTTGTGTGTCAGATTTCCAGACATGATAGAAACGAACATGTGAAGATTTCTGCCTGGAACTGACTGCTGCTCTTTGTTATTGCAATCTGTGACCTTCTCCTTCTGCTCTAATCTGAACATTAGCACAATACGTTAGTGTGGTTCTACTTTGTGCAACAGTTCCTCATTGAGACGTGGCTGAAGTTGCTTTTGCAAATAGAATCCAGCGACTCTCAATAAGCTTTTTAGCCAAAAATGGTTCATTTTGAAGTAAAGCTTAAAAGAAATACAAAAAGCATTACTTGAGACACCAGCGTTGCTGTAACTACAAAAATATTCCCACCATTATGTTTACATGAGCTGCAGTTGGAGTATTTAGTTTCTATTTTCCATGTTACGAAGCATGTTCCTTGGCATGCACTCATCATGCCACCCTTTCCCTTTCATAAGTTGAAACCGTGAAAATATTTATGACTTGGACGACTCCCCTGCCCTGGAAGTGAGTCCTCCTTTCTGTTCCTGCTCGCCCTGTTCTGCTCAGGCCCTCTGCAGATGAAGCTATTTACTGCAGCCCAGCTGTGTGTATCCTCACCTCCACACAAGCTAACAGAGGTTTGGCAAACTGCAAGTAGTTCATGTTTAATGTTGCTTACTCCAGATATGCCCTGATCATTAAAGCCTGCTGGCATGCATTATTCAGAGTGAAGCTTGTAGTGGAATATTGTTGGGCATCGAAGCTACCCAAGAACAACAAACTTTCATTTCAAGGCTCTAATTAAAGTAATTATTTACAGCTTGGCAGAAACCTTTGCATGCGCCTGTAAATTTACCAAAACACAGAATGTTAGAAGATTTAATGATTCATGTAAGTTCTAAAAAAGGCATTTTTTTTATCATCACTGTAACATACAGCATGTAAACAGTAGGAAATATGCTTCTTTTAATTTAATTTCCACCAGCTTCACCACCTGATCTTCACTTCATCATTTATGTTAAAATTTTTAAAGAAAACAGAGAAACCCTCAGCCTCACCCAGTGGGGAAGTGAAGTTATGGGCTGTTCTTATTCCCTGCCAGCTCACTTGACATTTAGAGATGCTTAATTATATTTTAAAGTGCTGTGCATGGGGCTTTTATGTGATTCATCCACTTTCCCAGGCCTACTTAATGCACAAGTTTGCTCCAAACTGGTCTTTTATTCAAACACTGAACACTAAATAACTATTGTTTACTGCTTTGTATTATTTTTTGAAAACTTTTGAAAAGAAAGAAGTCATTTCCAGACACAAAATAAATGCTAAAAATCCCTTAGAAATGATTGTTTATTACCACAAACTCCCTGAAAGTCATTTCCAGCTGACTGGCCAAATTAGTTTGACCTTGAGATGAATAAACTGAAACAAAACATATTTTAGAAAAAGCTAAGAATAAAGTAGTTGGTTGTAAAAGTTGCATAAATTTTATTCTGGAAAACTTTAGAAAAATTCAACCTTCAAATTTAAAAAAAGTTCTGCAGTTGTAAAAAGTTAAATTAACAAAAATATTTATTTTTAATCCGCAATAAAATCACCAATGCTAAAATTGTTAACAGTATTAAAAATGTATTTAAATAAATATAAATGAAGCATTTAGAATACTTTACATTTTTAATTCTGTGCCCAGGAACATCTGATTAGTAATTTATGAGTTTCTGTTTCCCTGGGGAATGAACATGACATGACACAGGTCCATTTCCTGCCATTAGCTGGATGAGCTGGACGATAAAAAAAGCTCTCTGCTGCAAAGCGTGGCGTCTCGGAGTCACAGATTCTCTTTAAATCTATTCAAGCTGCTGTTTGGAAAAAGGGAAAAGCCGTTTCTGACCTGGAACCGTATGCTTTGATGAGATTCAGGTTTCTCTCGACTTGCACTCCAAGTGCGTCTGGCAGGAATAAAGACAGAGTATGTGGAAAAGCCCCTCCTACCTACTGTTAAGAACAGCGGAGGATCTGTGATGCTGTGGGCTCGTTTTCCCCCCCAAAGATTCTGAAAACCTTTTTGGAGGGCACTAAACTGAAACAAAGTCATCATTTGGGTATTTCAGCAGGATAACGATCCGAAACATGTCTTAACACAGAAACAGAAAAATCAACCTCCTTTCAAGACATGAATCCAACCCTGAGCAGAGCAGCAGGGAGGGGAAAACGAAACCCAGAACAGCTGAAGCACAGAACAATGGTCACGTTACTTTCCTCCCACTGTTTATGCTTTAACTCTATGAAATGTGGTAGAAGACGTCGAAGTGCTGTCCTGCTGGTATAAAATATTCTTTGGTTTTGGTTCACCAAGTTTGAAACCCTTTCCCGACTCCTCAGTCATGTGTAGCATAGTCAGGAAACTGATGATGACAGAGTTAATGAATGAAATATGACTAACGAACCAGACAAGTGACCTGCAAATCCGACTGAACACAAAGTTCTATACGGAGATTTATTAGAAATCTGCAGCTGGTAAGAGTCTGGAAATCTCCACTGAAAATACATGGAGTCAAACAAGAAGGCACTCGAGATTGATGAGTGATCCTTAATCCGAGAGGAGCTCCGCCAAGGGTTTGTTAGTGTGCAGATCCAAACGAATGAGATCAATTTAGCAACTGAAAAACTCCTCTGGTGCCTTCCTGCACACTGAAGTGCTGAAAACACTCAGGAGGAAAATCAGGAAGCGGCAGGAAAAGCAGGCGACGTCACAAGACGCTGCTGAGAATCGGAGTCCCAGACTGAGCAGATTCAAAATACGACAGTCAGAAAATCCGATAATGATGAATCCAGCGTTACATGGGTTTAGATAGGAAATGGGAAAGTTTCATACACAAAAGAAATGAGAGGTCAGAGTGCAAAACCAAGGTCAGTTCAAGGGTCTTGAACGCTAAGAGAGTCATGAATCAAACATTTCCCAAGAGATAATTGAAGCATTTGATTCAGGTGTTGGGATGCAGCTGAGCTGCTCTTGAGATCTGGAGTTGGAGACTTCTGGTGAGGGCCACAGAGAAAAGGGGGAACCTGAGGCTCATCAACGAGCAGTGAGGACAAAGACGAAACGTTAAGAATCTGTCCAGGAACCTCTGGCTGGTGGAGCTTACATGGGACAGCTTACATGGGACAGCTTACATGGGACAGCTTACATGGGACAGCACAGGTGGAGGAAAACAGCAGCTGATGCAGCAGAAGGAGCCGCCGTGGCATCTTCTCGATCACATTTTCACATTCCAGATATTTGCTTTGAGTTTACGGTTGGAGACAAACACCATAAGGTGACGGGCAGTAGCCAGGATTGTGTTTCAAATATTCATTTTAAATGAATATTTTCCATCCCTTAACATTATAGCCTTGAAGCTTAATGAACAGCTTTAACAGTTTGAGTTTGAACAAGTAAAATAACAGTAGAAAACAACTGTTAAAAGCTGCGGCATTAGAGAGAAGGAAAGTAGAAAAACAAAGTGTCCAAGCTCCATCTAAACACTCTCCCTTTTGGTTTTACACCAACATGGACCCAGCCTCCTTTTCCCCGAGTCTCTCTGCCTTTCCCTGGTCCACTCATATGTTTCTATTTAAGGCCAGCAGTGCTGACTGCTATGATTGGTGTGTTCACTTCCCCCCGTCCCCCTCAGACTGCCTGTCCAACGCCTGGCTCCCACAGGCGGTGGAGGGGAGGCTTTTCCTCTCAACCACTGCTGATTTTCCACAGGGAAACTTCACCGTTCTTCCACTCATTCGCTCCCCACTCTTCTCCCGCTCCTCTGTTTCTTCTCCTTTTCCTTTTGGATTTGCCGATTTGGGTCACTTATGGATCTTCTGTTGGTGGAAGATGAAGATCCTGTAAACATTTTTCTTTCCGTCCCTGTTTTGGGTCTGACTCCTTCCGATGCTGCTCGGTTGTTGTCTCTGGAACAGCTGTATGGCCAGACATTTGGGACGATGCAGCCGATTTAGGAGGTTGTTTTCCGATTGGACTGGGAGGCGTAGCGGCGGGGAGTTGGGGTCGGCTGATGGCCACACACCGGGTGCCCTGCAGGGGCGGCGGTGGGGGTGTAGGGTGCAGCGGGCATTCGCGGGGCGCCACGGCCGGCAGGTGGCTGACAGCCTGTTTCTTCCCCTCAGGGATTGACAGCTCAGAGCCCATGGTGCTGGAGCAGTACGTGGCCGTGGCCAACTACGAGAGGCAGGAGAACTCTGAGATCAACCTGAAGGCTGGCGAGACGGTGGATGTGATCGAGAAGAGTGAAAGTGGTGAGTCCATCTGTGTTTTCTTTAAATCTGAACGCCTACAACCATCAGAACTCTGCCTATCAACTGTATTCATGGTTAGAAAACTGTTTTAAAGATGTACGCTGTTTGAGATTTAAGGTTTCTGCCTGTTAAACACAGAAGCATAAACACTCATATGAAGTTATGCACACTCAGCACCTTCCCAGCCTCTGCTTTTCCTCTCTGCTTTGTTTGGAGGAACCTCATATTCTTCTTCTCTCTCTCTCAAACTCTGGCTGCAGGGCTCGGCTCCACCAGGGGGAGCTGTTTGGCCGGCTCAGGTCTATAAGTATGGAGGAAAAAGGGGGAAGGCTTTTGCATGTCATATGAGCAATTAGCTGGACTGTCATGTGAACTGCAGTTTCTTTACTTAAATCTACATTTCCTGTCATGTTACCAAAAAACTGCCAACATTAACCAGATCCAGTTTCTTTATGAAAGCAGAAATAAAGCAAAGCGAGTTTACTGTAGAAGGGTCATCCTTCCAGTTTCCTGTTAAAGTTCGCCTTTTCGCTAGCTTGATGAAACAGCCTCATAGTTCCACTAAGTTCACCTTATCCACAGTATTCTTTTAAATTCCTTGTTTTCCTATAATTTTGTTTGCACTGTTTCTGATTACAGCTAGCTTTAGTTTTTTCCTTCAATAACAGCTTCCTCTCTGAAGCTTTGTCCTTTAGGTAAACGCTAACGGGACAGGTTTTGGCATAATGCATGAACTGACCACTAAAAGATCCCACTTTGAAACTTCTGACTCAAACTGGTCCAACTGAACTAAAAGTGTTCTGATTCTGATAAGCAGATGATTTTTCAATGCATCTGTGGTCACAAAATCATTAGACGGGTCCAAAGTGCAGTCTGAGGGCTTTGTTGGTGTCCATGAAAACACTTTTAATGAAGGACCTTTGATCAGATTCTTAAGGATGAAACTGAAATGACTCTCGCCTGTTCTGATGTCACCAGAGGCACCTAGCTGTTTAGACTTGTTCTAGGAAGTTAGATCTTTACTTGAATTGAAAGCAAAAAAGTAAAATACCTAAAAAATTGGCCCTGCCATGGTTCTCTGGGTGACAAACTATTTGAAGTGAGCATCACAGAAAGGTTTGTCTATCAACTTTGAGATGTTTTGCAGGAAATGATGTTTTGCGGTGTGACCTCAGGATAACATGTTTATGACTGTTAGAAGCATCAAATGTTAACTCTAAAGCATTTCTGGAGTATGAGGTGCATCATGAGGAATTTTCCTCTGTGATTCCGCTTCCTCATTTCCGGACCTGACTGCATCTGTTCACCAGTCCCGGCTGAAAGCTATCCACGTTCATCGGAGCTCTTACAGCAACCAGAGCAACTCCTGAACTTGCCTGGAAGTCTTTTCCAAAAACTGAATTTGTGTGTGTTGTCGTCATGTTCTGGGCCAAAGAAGTGGAGCAACGGTGTGATGATGACATCACTAGGAGGCTTCTGAAATCACTCGGAGATTTCAGAAGACACACTTCTGAAATGTTGGAAAATGTCCCGCGACCACCTTCCTGCATGCAGGACTTTGCTGCAGCCTTTGGGACTGTGCAGGCCGTCTTTCTGACATCTTGACACTCTCCCTCTTAATTACGTTGTATTTTCTCTTAACATTCTTGCCACAAAGAGTCAGAGAAATAACATTCTGCCTTTTCATCCTCGCCAGGACATTTTGCAGGTTGGATCTATTTTTTCCTCAACTTTTCTTGAAAGCAGATTGCATTGCTCCCATATGTTATTATTTATTCCGGTTGTTGTTCTTTCATGCAGACTTGATCTAAAGTAGGTTAAGTTAAAGGATTGTTGGTGTTTTTCTGCCTGTATGAGACATTATTGGTTCTGCTAATTAGGATTAAGCTCCTGTTGAGAAAATAAGGTGAAAAAGTAAAGAGTAGTTCAGATCCACCTTGCAAAGGGAGATATAATATTCATTCAAGGTCATTATGATTGAATGGAGGAGGCTGATGTTTGCTGGAACCACCCTGAGGGATGTTTTCCAGAAAACTCCTGTTTTTTTCCAAAAAAGTTTCCACCTCTTAGTGTCTGACAGACAACTGGAGAAAATCTATCTGCATATGTGACCAGTTAAATATGATTAAAGGTAGGCCGTGACGTTCGAGAGATGATGATCAGCGGGCAGCTTGGTTCATCCGGACTTCATTATGAAAGTTTTTAACATCTGAACTTGTGTGTTTTAGTTGCTGGCATTGAAACAGTTTAGATCCAGGATTAGTGGTTTAGCTAGAGTCACAGTCCATAAAGTGCATATCTATACTTTCAGTTGGGTCAGTTTTATACCCTATTACTTTCTAAAATAATTCACTGCAGATTAATAATGTTTGTTAAATATTAGGTTTTCTATTTTGGGTTTAGCAGACCCATCATGACTGATTCCCTGCAGGCTGTATTGGATGCATCTGCTGTGAAAATGCTCATTTCAGTCACTGCAAACTTGACTCAATCTTGGAGAAAAAGATCTGTGCTAAAAACATTCTCCCTGTCAGTGCTGTTAACCGCAGTGATTTGTGAGTTTATGGTTCTGTTTGTTTATGTCATTCTGCAGCAAATGTAGGAAACCAACCCACTACTCAGGCCATGTGACACAGCACAAAGTTTATGCAGGGAAAATACCGCGTCTTGTCCAACTTCATTATCCAAAACAAATGGATTATCCAGAAGTGACTCAATGCTAAAGTTTAACTCGCTGTCCAGTCGGAGGAGGAATTTCTCTGGAATATCTGGAAGCTCATTACTTCAAAGTTCCACATACACTTTGTCACATTTCTAATCAGATCTGACAGTTTTTATGTGGAGTTGTGCCTCACACACAGCGCTGTGTTTCTGCTGTGTTTCCAGATAAAACCAATCTTCTGTTTATGGAAAATGACAGCATTTCTGTTTCCGTGGCCGGCAGTCATAAATCGCCTGCATGGAAGACAGACATCTCAGGAACATGGCTGTGATTGTCAGAGCTGGTGAAGTGCTGTGGCAGCTGGAGTTGGAGCCAAACGGTTTCGGCATCATTTCCCCACCACATCTTTCCCACAGCCCAGGGGATCTGGTCAGACTGGGAGCGCTGATTTTCACCAGCTTTGTGGAGCCTTGACCTCAGTGTGGCAGATCCTCAAGTATGTTCATGAGGAAGCCATGAATGCAGATTTTATGGTTTGTTAGAAACTGTGAAGGAGACTTTACCTAGTCTTTGTGTTATGTTCTACCTCGTAACATCCTCCTCCAACCTGAAATTGTCCATAAAGACTTTTATGTGCTGCAGTTTCAGGAAAGGCTCCCTCCACCCTGGAAGAAAATGAAAAAAAGCCTGGATGATCTTCGCAAGGTCTAGGAAGCTTCCACAAGGGTATCAGAGGAGCACATTGACCTTATTACGAGCGAAAGAGCGCGAACGTTCAGCGAGGATTTAGACCTTGAACTAAATATCTGGACTGAGTGTAGTTGTGTTTCACTGTGTTTTTCCATGATGGCAGCAGTCCTGGATGGTTGGACTCTTTGTTGGCCATTAAGTTGCTGTATAGTGTTACAACAACTTTGAAAGAGTGATGCTAGTTGTGACCATGACTGAGTGTAATGTCCCCATCATGTTGCTGCATGTCTGCTTTTCATTTAAACGGAATAGGAAACAACAATGGCTTTGGACAGTGGACTCAAGGACAGCCGTCCTGCATGTTTCACTTCTTTCCCTGGTTCAACACATCTAAACCAAATGATGGGTCATCAGCAGAACATTTGCAGAACCTTCTGACATGCTGTGGGACGTTGGAATCAGACCAAAAAGGAAAACAAACTCCGGTCCATTTAAAGCAGGCCAAATGTGTCAGCTGTGATCACACACACTGTGGGCTCATTGTCAAATGCAATTTGTAATTTGTTCAGAGGTTTGCAAGGTTTTATTTGGTGGACATCAGGATGATAGGCTGTTGTTAGGTTTGGAAAATAGTGGTTTTGTTAGAAACTGGTGCTGTGTGTTCTCCAAGCTAATAAAAAAGAGAAGCTGCTTTGTTCTGATCACTTCAGGACTTCAGATGGGTCCTGTGGTCCAACACAAAGAGACTGGATTAGAAATGGAACCAGATCCTGGCATTTTCCTTTATGACAAGGTGTTTGCTTCAGTGGTTTCATTTACCACCATCAAGACAATTTTATTTATACGCTGGAGCAGAGACTGCACTTTATGAGCAGCAAAACCAGGTAAAGAAAAGAAGGGAAACATGGTGTCTATGTCCCAAACAATAAACAACTCCAAGGAGTGTTTTCCTGGAAAGGACAGAAATCAGAACTAAAACCCCTACATTGGGCAACTGGGCCTCAAAACTGATGAAAAAGTGTTTAAATAAATAAATTTCATAGCAGCAGAAACTCCCACACAGCCTCTCCACATGAGCATAAATTCAGCCGTTTAGCGTGACGTTCTGCCATCTCTGGTTATTGAACCTTCCACCTCCAGCTATCAGCTTTCACTTGTTAGGGCGGCTCAGTGACAGTTTTATAAAACTTAAATCAGGTAACGTAAGCTTCAAACAGGAAAACAACACTTTCATCAGGGAGTCCCAGCTCGGCTCTGAACCAACAAACAGCCTCTGACTCCCCAGGAAGCAACAGAAAACGATTTGCTGCTGCTCACACCTCCCAGTTCATCCTCAACACAAACTTCCAAATTGTTGAAACTTTCACTTCCTGGAGCGGTCGAGAGTTTGAGAACAAAGCTGGAATGATTTCTCAGGAATGTGGAAAGTTTAGAGAAATATTTCAACAAACTCATCATGCTTATATTGAAGCAGAAGATGTATTTTAGGGCAGTTGGCAGGACTGGGTTTCTTACTCGCAGTTCTGCTTGGAGCCAACCTTCTCCACCCTATTAACAACACTCATACAAGTTTATAAATCTAAAGGAAATATGCTGTAGATCTAAAATAGCAAAAGGTTTGCAGTTTGAAAACATTTTTTCTAGTCAT